AGCAGGAATCTTTAAATCAAACTGTCCCAGAAGCAGAGTGACTTGCACAAACCATGCAGTGACCACTGACTGTTTATAAAAGTTACAGATTCTGTAGCTGTCTTGTCGAGATCAATACCTTTCAAAATAAAAGTATCTGAAGTTGGAACAGTTGCATAGTGACATTATGGTAGAGCATGGAAATGCAGCTATTGATAGTGGGATATAATACTACATACTTGGTGACTGGAAATCATCATACTGTAATAGAGGTTAGCATGTCTGCTCTCTTGGTCTTAACTGACAGGTAGCCTGGTACATTTTGACTAGATCTCTTTGGCTGCTAGCTGAGTGAGAAGAAGAATGAAAACCTCATGACCAAACTTGGCTTCAGTATTGTACAAAAGCTGCAATAGTCAACCTCCACTTATCTCTGCATTATTATCACTGTAAAGTTCCCCGTGTGGAACAAATGTCAGTCTGTAACACTTGTTGACGAAATGCCCAGCCACATGCACAGTGAGCTTGTCTGCCCCAGCAGGGTGTCTCTGTCCTGTCAAACCAGTTACTTTTAATTCAGTTGTGATATAACTCAGTGTGCATGGATCTGTTTTTCACCCACTTTCATCTCTCAGGTTTGAATGGGTGTGTGTGTGTGTGTGTGTGTGTGTGTGTGTGTGTGTGTGTGTGTGTCTGCACAAAGGAGCTGGTGCACTTTGTGGATTCATGATTAAATTACTAGATGCCCAATTTGGTTTCTCTGGACCATATTTAGATAAGTTGCATCGAGAGACATGATGTTGCTGCTGCTGGCCCCATTTCACTGGATTTAATAATAGCTTATGGGTTTCTTGTGTGTTTTGTTAAAGGAGTTCCTAAAGTACCCCACAGACATCTGATACTTTAAAATATAATTAGACTAACTGCATGTCATTCGTCACTGTTTTTCTTCCATACTGGTGAAATGTCCATATGAGGTTATAACAAAATGTGTAGAAATGTGCACAGAAGTGAGGTTCCTGCTTTGCTGTTCATGCTTATGGGGGTTGTCATTTTGAAAAACTAAAATGCCAAAACCCTGGGGAAGTGGCATTTTGACTAAAATAACCTAACAGTAGCTATAATGTAAGGTTAAGGATAATATCTATGGAGTAGTTTGGAGAAACCATTGTGCTACTAAGCCAATGGCTTTAAATTAGGTCCTGAGACACTTTAGTAGCTTAGGTGATGTTACTGTTCAGAATCAGAATCAGCTTTATTGGCCAGGTGGGACGGACTCACGAGGAATTTGACTCAGGTACATCAGCTCTCAATGTGCAAACAGTAAACCAGCATAAGGCTGTGTAATATAACGAAAATAAGCAGTATTTACAAGCAACAAACAGTGCAAACAATGGAGAAAAAGCAGTATAAACAAACAGTAAACAATGCAGACAACAAAGGAATGTTCATTGAAATGAGATAAATACGAGTACTTAAAAACAGAGACCTGTATGAGTCTCTATAATCTGTACAATGCATATATACAGGTATTACACTGAAGGTTATTGTCCAATCATACTGTCGTTGATTAACTGTTCATCAGAGTTACAGCCTGGGGGAAGAAACTGTCCCTGTGCCTGGTTGTCTTGGTGCACAGTGACCTGTAACGCCGTCCAGACGGGAGGAGATCAAACAGATTGTGTCCAGGGTGTGAGGGGTCTGCAGTGATCCTCTCCACTCTCCTTTTGGTGTACAGGTCCTCCATGGAGGGCAGGCTCACACCAATGACCTGTTCTGCAGTCCTGACTGTCCGCTGAAGTCTGTACTTGTCCTGTTTGGTTGCTGAGCCAAACCAGACAGTGATGGAGGTGCAGCTCATATCAACAGCTTTGTCGTCCATGTTGTAATTTTGTGCCAAAAACATTCTCTGTGACAACTATAAGCAACGTGTGAAGGAAAACATCTAGTTCCACCATCATGAAATCCTGACATCAGCTGGATGGTGAGTGCTGGAGGAACATGCTGAATAACCCATTTAGTGACGAGGATGCAGTCACTGCAGGGAACACTGTTCTCTATGTAAATCAGTTCACATGGCAAAGAAAATAGAGTATAGGCGACTTGCATTACAATAATATTTTGACTGTTTGACATGCCTTCCTGTGCCAAATCAGCAGTAGACTTCTGTGTCAACATGTTGACCTTTGCCCTGTATGTCTGCCAAGCTGCAGCAATGCACCCACAGATAGGATACTGTATCTTAAACCTCAAATTAAAAGTTTTGTATGGCCTGTGCACTTAAGTACTGCAGCGATCCCATGCACATTACCGCTTGTTAGTGATACTGACGTTGCTCTGTTGGAGGTGCCTGTTGCTACAGTATGTCAGTATGGCTGATCAGCCACATGTGTTTTTGCATGTGAGGGGAGTAGCTTCCTACAGCGTTTTAAAGATGTATGTGAATGATATGCTGGATGTCCTTCTTGGACTGTGATTTTGTTAGAAGTTGAATAGCAAATGAAACTGCAACTACAAATTGGTTAATATTTACTTCTAATGATGAGGTGATGCATAGATACATATACACGTGGCTAACTTTTAACTAATCATAAAGTTATAAAGCCTGACTGTAATCTAACCTGAAAAACAGTTTTACACCTAGTGCATATAGACTTAAAAGGACGAGGCAGATCACTGCAGGAACACATAGCTCTAGGTCGAAGAGCATAGATGGCTATTACATTCCTGTTTGTGGCACATATACAATCGCTATTGGCTCCTCGGTAGAACCCCCTCCCTACATAAATTTTCATGACGACGGGGCACGGCCCGCCTATTAACTCAAGGCAGGGTGGACGTTTCTCCTCGGGAGGTGCAGTTTGTTTTCAACAACAAAAACCTCCATATTTTCCACGGAAGTGGAGCAGGGTAGCAAGCTATCGCGATACCTGGGATTTATTGACGGTTGTTGCTGCTCTTTACCGTGAATTCTGCGGATTAAAAGTATTAGTGACATCCTGTTTCGGTGTTAAGAGGCACTAGGTTGCGAGTATTATCAAGCTGCAACAAGACAACCGCCGAGCTTGTTTCTTTGTTAGTTACCGTGTTGTTATTGCAGGAAGGAAAATGTCGGTAGAACCTATGGTCATCACATCGGGGACCCCGAGTTCACTGCCAGTGGTTTTGAAGAAAATAATGGAAATGCCTCCGCCGAATATACTGGACGGCGACGATGGTAAGTGCAGCGAAGCCCATGTTGTATGCATGCAGGTGTTATGATAGTGTATCCGACAGGGTGTAGATATTCTCTTTAGTGTTACTGGATGTGTGTTAAGATTTGTGCAACGATTCACGTTTGCATGCCATACACACGCTATATGTTGAACACAATGTACACAGGCCTCCGTTTCCTTGTGACCCACCTCACATTCTAGACTTTTCTAGACACGCCTCCTGCTTTAAATGGGCTGTAATGACTGAATATTTGTTATTAGGAGAATATATTAAGGAAAGTGATTGACTTTTGAAGGTTTGCGCTAAAGGACTGTTGTTGCTAACCGCTAGCTAACACTTATGGCCTAGTTATTATACAGTATGTCAGTAAGGTTTCAGGTGTGACGTTGGGCTGAGGACTACATTTACTTATTCATCTATGTTCTGCAGAAAACATTTAAGGGTGATCACAAAACTCGCGCTGACTGAATCTTAGCCAATATAAATCGTGTGCAGTATTTTAATTTAGGTTGCTAAAACACACTGTACGTGGATCAGCGGAGCATTTAAATCCAATCATAGCATTTTCCACGTTTGCAATATAAACTTACTACCTGAGTTTGGGGCCACAGGGACATTTCTGAATGGGGGCCTCATTGGAAGGAAGTAGATGCACGAACTACCTCTTAAAAATGGTGAACTTTCAATTGTGCTTGACTTCAGCAGTTTTCTGTTGACCTCGGTAAACCAGCCTTCTTATCAGATCAAGATCAAAGATTTTTATTGTCAGTTCACTACATGTGCAGGACATACAGAAAATCAAAATACCGTGTCTCTCTTACCTGGTATTGAAAGCCATACCATTTAGGAAACTAAAATAGAATAAAAGTAGAGTAAAAATAGACTAAAAAGAATAAGAAAACTAAGTCAAAGTGATTAGGATAAAACTAAACGGTACAACCTAATAGGCTATGACTCAAACCATGTAGAGTCAGTGACAGTAGTGCAAATAGTAACAACAATGGACAGTGTGTGCAGGGTGGGAGGTGTCATCAGCAATGCTGATGGCTCTGCGGGTGAGGCGGGTGTATGTCGTGACAATTACATCTGCCCACATATGTGAAAACCTTCTTGTACCTTTTCTGTGTTTCAGACACTGACAAAGAAAAGCTGTGTCTGGGAGACCATGTCGACCTGGGGGGAGGAGGTAGTGATATGGGTCCGTCAGCCGCCTTGACTCCTGCTATCTGGGAGAAGACCATTCCCTATGATGGTGAGAACTTCCACCTGGAGTACATGGACCTGGAGGAGTTCCTTATGGAGAATGGCATCCCTACGCCTGATGAGGAATCTCTGAAGAGCTGCCCAGAAAGAGTCACCATAAAGACAGAGAAACTTGAGGCTGCTAGGTCAGCGCAGACTGAGGATACTAAGCCAGCATGTGTGTCTCCGGTGGGCCTGCTGCCCGTTCAGGAGCTGGACAAATGTAAGGAGGATGTGGTGATCATCCCCCAGGGTAGCTCAGTGATCACCTGTGATGTTACTGCAGGTAAGTAAAGGCGAGAGGATCAGAGACCAGTGGGCTGCAGGTTTTCACTAAATTCTTGTTGACTCAGTAAATTAAATGCGAGTGTTTTGAAATGCAAACTAGGAATAGACATACAGTGAGGAACAGAAGTATTTGAACACCCTGCGATTTTGCAAGTTCTCCCACTTAGAAATCATGGAGGGGTCTGAAATTCACATTGTAGGTGCATTCCCACTCTGAGAGACAGAATTAAAAAAAAAATTCAGGAAATCACATTGTATGATTTTTAAAGAATTTATTTGTCTTGCACTGCTGAACATAAGTATTTGAACACCTGAGAAACAGCAAGAATTCTGGCTCTCAAAGACCTGTTACTGTGCCTTGAAAAAGTCCACCTCTACTCCACTCATTAATCTAAATTAGTAGCACCTGTCTGAGCTCTTTAAAGACACCTGTCCACCCCACAGTCAGTCAGACGCCAACTACTACCATGGGCAAGACCAAAGAGCTGTCAAAAGACACCAGAGACAAAATTGTGGACCTCCACAAGGCTGGAAAGGGCTACGGGGCAATTGCCAAGCAGCTTGGTGAAAACAGATCAACTGTTGGAGCAATTGTTAGAAAATGGAAGAGGCTAAAGACGACTGTCAATCTCCCTCGGACTGGGGCGCCATGCAAGATCTCACCTCGTGGGGTATCACTGATGATAAGAAAGGTGAGGAATCAGCCCAGAACTACAAGGGAGGAGCTGGTCAATGACATGAAGAGAGCTGGGACCACAGTTTCAAAGGTCACTGTCGGTAGAACACTACGCCGTCATGGTTTCAAATCATGCATTGCACAGAAGGTTCCCCTGCTCAAGTCATCACATGTCCAGGCCCGTCTGAAGTTTGCCAAAGACCATCTGGATGATCCAGAGGAGGCATGGGAGAAAGTCATGTAGTCAG